ATTAGATAAATCCTCTAGTGAAAGAAAATATCATACAGCCAAACAACAGCCTGCACAACGACTGATGTAAGTCCAAATAGCCCATAAATATTCAGTCATAATAAAAGTTAAATTGTATGGGAAAATTCTGTTCACATAATGAAAGTAAGGTTGAATGATTACTCTAATTGATCAAAATGTTGAAAACAATATGTTTAACTTGAACAACAATGACAGTTTGCGAAATTTTTATCAGTGTTTGTATCACGTATTAGCAAACAAAGATTTGATCTTTGGAGACAAGTTGTTCAATGGTAAATAGTAAATATTTCAAGTAACCGCTGGGGTGAGTACACATATCCAAAGCTTGAATGCACCTACTATCAGGATAGTATCACAGTCAAAGTAAACATAATCCGGGTGAATTGCTATACTTCGTTCGGGTCTGTCGACAATAAACTGGATGTCCACAGTAGTACGACAATGCGCATCTATCTGCTTTTATTGACTGAAGAAGCTTAGATAAAACAGGGGTAGAATTGTGCTTAATATGTGCTTGAATATGCTGGTGTCAGATATGAGCGCACTTAATCTACTTTCTTCATTTGCTCAAATCACATAAACCAGAATTTGTTGATACTATTTCTCCCTTAAAATGTATACAGCATCAGTGGAAGTAGCAAATATATAAGGTTAATTATAAGCTAGTGAGTGCAATAGTTAAAATATATTATCATCCAATGGAAACCTCTGGTACATTCTATGGAAAATATCCATTGATAGACATTGTATTCAGTTCTCCTATTATTTGAGACTCTCAACAGATGCAACCATAGTCTCGATCTGTATACTATAACATTCGTCTTCTAGAATTGTGTGTAGTTGGATAAAGACCATTACTTCAGTAATAACGAAAATGAATGATCTAAAAGTATTTTAATGGATGGTGGTTAGCAGTGAAATCTAAGAAGTTCATTTCGTCCTATTCGGGACTCTTCTCGTGGATATACCTGCATTTCTCAGTGAGTGACAGGAAAGTTCCCACTGAGGCTCGAACCCTGTGTCTATACTTTCAAAAGCCAAAGCGTTATCTACTAGATCAATTCACCTATGAGAGTAGTCTCTTTTGCAACGGATACCAGCTGCTATTTCATTCAATTTGGAATTTTCTATTCACTGACTGAACCAAAACACTCGGGCTCTCTGTTGACATGGGCGGATGCTTCACCACTCATCATATTACTTCAAATTAAGTCCTCAGATATAGTCGAGGCATCCGCACAAGGAGATGACATGTCAAAAAAGGCTGAACACTTCAGTCAAGTCATCAAGCCGATAAGTTTAAATTTAATCAAATGAAATCGAATCATCTCTTAAACGCTTCCAAGTGTATTTCTAGTTTTCACAATCACTCACGCAGGTTCGCCAAAATACGAAATTTCAAACTATGTTAGAGGTAGATGTAGTGAAATGAATACATGTGTGGCCCCCAGAAAATATTAGTCCCCGTTAACAAAACTTGCTCCACTCAGAAGTAAGAACGAACAGCGAAATTCGTGGGAAATTATTTATTCTTATTATTATTATTAACATTTATTACTCTGTTATAATTTTTCACTTAAATAAAGCAGAGAATGGAAAGCAAACGATAAAACTGTGGTTCATTGAGTCCTGTCTGAGAAAGGTGTACAGGTTTGAGAGAATTTACGTTTCGATCAGAGTGTTGTCGCTTTCGCATATTATTATTAATTTCTCAATGAATTTATTCTGATTTGTCACTCCTTGCAAATACCTGAATTTCAGTTATTGGATAATGCAATAGATTCCGTTGCATGCCATCCCAGATATATTTGGCATCAGGTGTACCAGGTTTCACAATCCTTACAAGTCTTTTGATGGATTTATCTGGTAGTATGACGTAAGAGGGATCACGCCCTCCTGCACCACATGTACCAGAGGTTGATGTGTAAGGTCGCTCACTTCCAACACTTCCGCTATAAGTTAAAGAAAAAGACTACGTATAGTATGTATATGTATACAGATTGGAAATTGAAGAAAATTTCTAGCATCATGAATGGAACATACGCAGTGAAATTTCAACTTACGCTGGACCGTAATTGCATACCACGAAATATTTGGCATAAAATGTTTTCACGGAGCACTCGCCGATTCCACAGCCTACATGGGTGTTTCCTTGCGAAACAACCTAGAAGGTAATTTAAACAAATTAGACCGCTTAAAAATCTCCATTAGATTTTTCAAAAGAATAGTTACTGAACAAAGAATATTATTCTCAATAACTTCATCATCAGGATCCAAGGTCATATATACAGTATATTGAATGAATTAGTGTTATTGGCAAAATTAATGTTAAATAACATCGTAGAGTCCCTCTCCATCACATATTGGGTACCAAACAAACTGCCGAAACATCCGGGCACCGCATACTGCAGACAGCAGAGGCTATTGCGATTCTCCTGAAATAACCGGTGCCTGTGTGCAGAAGAAGCAAGTTCAGCCACTTCTACTGCCCTGGCCTTCAGTGGATACTATAAATTCACGAATTTTTATTATTATCTTCCTAATTTTCCTGACATTCAACGTATTGTTATGTTGACGCTATCGAACTGCAATCCAGCGATATTATTTTTATTATTCATTCAATGTTATTTAAACAACATTATTGTTGTTAATAACACTGATTCATTCACTATTATGTGTATACAACTGTAAAACCCTGATGATGAAGTCATTGAAAATAATGTTCTTTGTTCAGTAATCATCCTGTCAACAAAATATCATCATATAATATGATAAGTCATTATGTAATATGCAATTTGAAATGCAGAGTAATGTTCATCGTGTTTCCGAAAGAAAGTATGTGACGGCGAAGAATTAAATATGCAAGAAGCCATTATCTTACGTTGTGCGGAGGAATAGCAATTGAATAGTCCTTCTATTAAAGAAAAATGTCTTCTTGTGGTAATACGATGGGTGATGTGACCAACAGTAGAGCATTAACTAAGTAGTGCTTAGTGAACTTTCTTAATCAATTTTACGATAAGGCGAAAGGCTTAGATGTTGGATGTTAGATTTTTATTCATTCACATTCTAATAAGCGTCCAACAGTGAACAGTGGTGAAGCTTCAAGGGAAAACTGCATAATCTTATGGCAGCAGATAAGTGTGCCTTTCAAAGAATGAGCATTTCACATTAACAGTTTTACATATTGACTCTAAAATAACTTGACTATGGGAAAACAATAACGTCCAGACATATTCAGTGAATTAATTACATCAGGTAGTGGGAATGCTCGAATGATGCACAAGTCATTTTCATTTGACGTTGCAGTTAAGATGAAAGTCTTTCGAAATTTACACATATTATGTCATCCGTTTGATGAAAGTTGTTTATGCTGCCTCTAAATCGATCGAGAATGTAATCGTGAGCAGTTGTTCCACTGATACACCGTTTCCACATTAGAAGCTGTTATATACACACATTTTGAGGTCAGTTACATGATATATTCTTCAATTAAGTCTTCGTAATCTGGGAATGTTTTGACTTTTCCAAACATGCTCTAATTGACCAAAACATCAAATACAAGATCTTGTGTTGGCAGCTTCAGTGCAAATCGACTGATTCATCCGCTCCTTGAAGCTAAGTACATAGACCGTAGCAGGAAGGCATTTTCAAAACGTGCCAGTGAACATTTGACAATATATGGCTGTCAAGTGGATAAAGTGGAGCAGTCGACAGCTTAATTCTGGAGTATATCCTTTCTTCCGGTCATGCAACATCAGCACAAAACTCTTTCAGAGTAATATAGCTATATAAATTATGACTGAGTCAATGGAATGACTGAGTCGCCTTCATTTTCTTTATGCAGCCGAAGCCTGTACAATCCTTTAGAAGAAATCTGAACGTTGTGTTCAGAAACATTTCATCCAGGCTCTTTTCCTTATTCTTCCTGAATAACTGGACAGTAGCACTCACTATGTAGTCCGTTATATTTTCTGCAACTCATTTTCAACTATTCACCACTCACTCAGCTAACTACTTGTCTATCCTCTAGATTAAGTAAGACTATTCCTAATTTTTCAATCATTGTTATTACCAATTTACTCTGAATTGCCTTTTTACTAACTAACAACAGTCAGCGGCTTCGACCGTCAATCTACGTTACATATATAGACAGCCTCAATATCTGAACAGCTTTGAAATGAAGTTACGAAAAGAGGCCTCTTCGTTGACCCATGTGTTCTTAATCTTTTCACTGTTGAAAATCTAATAGGTTCAACTGACTTCTGAATTATTCACGGTTACTCAGACACCATCTTGAGACAAAAGTCATAATTTCAAACCTTGCCTGACCATTCAGTGAGCCTAATCAAAACAGATCCAGTATTGAAATAAATGGTAGTCGATAAATAGAATAAGGATTCGTAAAATTATTTCACCTGCTTATAGTGTTCACAATTTTCTCCAGGTTTGCATGAATTTTCAGTGAAATTGTAGTTCTCATGCTCATCTGTCCACATTGATACAGCTCTAAACAATCAGGTATAATGAATAACTGTCGATTAAATTCAGTTACCTTTCCACTTTCCAGAGTTTACCAAGGTTTTGTCCAATGCGATCAAACTTTTTCGTCTTAAGTCCATCATTATTATGATGGTAATTGCAAGTATTAGCCAGTTCTTGGGCTTGTTTTGCGAGTTCATCATCCCATTTCTGAAAAGGTTTTAACAGAGAGCATGAAAATCTTTACAAATATTATTTGTTTGACTAGCTAATAGTTCTCACAAGGTTAGCATAATATAAAATTCATTTCGAAAAATGTAGACATATCACGTAATGAAAACACTTGATTTACATCTATAAAATACCTCTGGGGTGTGTCTAAATTTAGGAACAGATGAACTGCTACAGCTATTACAATGAAGATGATATATTATGGAACTAACAGTAACGCTTGACCATTGCATGGGTGGAGGGAAAGAATCAACCAACCAACTTACCAAATCAGGAATCGGAGTATCACTACCTGGTTGTCCTTTGAGCTCACAATCGCTCACTTTTCTCCTGATCTCGTTGTGACTATTCAACAATGCAGACTGTTCTGGGGATAACTGATTATTCTTTACTGATCCCAGTTGTATGAAAAGCAGTGAAATGAGAAAAACACTGGTGCTCATCATGATCATGTTTTTAGCCACAAGAGATGCTGTGACATCTATTTATACATATTTGAATACATGCACATTTATAGATTTATCTTATCTTTGTCTCCATATGACCTATCACTTTAAATGTACTCAACTACCAAAATAAGATAAGTAGTGTGACAAGCAGACTCAGAATATTTGATAGTACTTCACCATGTTATGACTGCATGATGGTAATGACAAATAATGTAAACAAGTTTTAGATGAAAATTAAACATGATACTTTTTTCAACAGCTGGTTTCCAGGGATTAGTCTTGTTTTTCTGAGTGTGACCATGGATTGGTATCAGTTAGAGAACCATCGAAAACCAAGGAGTACTGGAATGCTTTTTCATTTACTAGTTTGGGAATTATCGGCAGTACGCATTCACTGAAAATTAATCTGATGCCTTCTAGTGACTTGCTACAGGACGGAGTTCTCTTGCAGTGAGTTCCAGTGAGACGTTGTGAGATCCAACCAGTCAAAAGTGAGGCTGGATTTTTTACCGATGACATTGGTTGGTGGTCACGCTACATCATGAATTGGTAGAAGTTAGAATTCGTGAGCTGGTCAGTGAGTCGGCTCCCAGTCAGTGGCTGAATGGTGTACGAGCCAGCTTGTCTTATAATTGGAAGGTCCTGTTTTCGAACTCTGGCACTGGGTGCGTAGTGCCTATGATTCTCAAACTAGGGTGAAACTTCTTTCCAGTACTTCCTAGTTTCCAGTGGTTCTCTAAATGATATCAATCCGTGGTCGAACTCGTAGTAATAAGTCATAATACTTTCCCTGCTTCATCGAAAAAGCAAGATTCTCATTAATGTTACAAACAAAATATTTTAACAGTGACTGTTACGAGGAAACACCAGTCTCAGGGAACGTTTCACTGATGGAAGAACACTACTGAGAGGAGACATTTCTACAGTCAGCAGAACAACTGATTCTTTCATATGAAGTAAAATGAGAGCCTAATACCTACTTTTTATTCATCGAAAATTCTCATTAGGACATAAAGAAAATCAAAACAAGCGATTCAGCGGAGAGAATCTTTCCAACGAATTTATTATCAAGCTCTATATTCGTATATATATACGTAAAACAATTCATGGGATGTAGGGAACATGAAATGGCGTGTGCAATTACAGAATTAGTAGCCAAATAGAATGAATAAAAGTAACGGTGTTACGTAATATCGTGCGAAGTACAAAAACACAGTGTTTAATGTTGCAAAACAGAATTGATTTGGAAAGAGGGAAATAATACCGAGGACGATTCAGATTGAGAGTAGTAATAGTAAATTGACGTAGTAAAGGAAGAGTATACAAGACTGAATAAGCAAAACGAAAACAGGTAGAATCAAAATATGATAAGGGATTACCATACTTTAGTTAGCATGCAGGGATTAAGACCATGAAAGTTGGAGGCGTTGAAAATTTTTTTTCTGTTTCTGGCCCTTCTATTTCGATGACGAAATCTCGAGCAATACAGATGAGTTGGATACGTGGTGGTCTCCGCGAATAACTTTTCGCCATGTAGATGACTTTAAAGACAGAGGCTGTAGGGAGGGATAGAGTGATTACTATCGATCACATATTCAAGCCATGTAAATACGATTGTAGAGCTTGATAATCAATTCGTTGAAAAGAGTTTCTTTGCTGAATTATTTGTTTTAAACAAAAAATCAATCCTTTCTTCTCTCTTGAAAAATACGTGTCTAACTATTCCATTGTATGAATACCGTCGATTTAAATGCAAATGTTAGCAGTTGGACTGAAATTCGACAGTATAACACAAGAATGCAAAAGTTCGGTTTGAGAAACTAATTATTCAGACAAAAAGAACTAGTTCCAGCCTTGTACAATGATACAAAACGTTTGAGACAAATTGTTTAATATGGTGGTCTTAATTGCATAAAAAACACCTTCATAACTGTTTGTCTGTAAAAAGTGCAAATGAGTTGAGCAAAGTAAAAAAGGTCATTACATTTTTGGAGAAAGGTTGCAGAATAGTCCTGTTAAATAAATCAACTACATTGAAAACCTTCATTAATTCTGTCCATAGACTAAATGGTTTTTTAAGTAACATCTCAGAGAAGTTTCGCGACTGATGGAGATACTAATAAGATTATTATTATTGTTCCTTGGGTTCCTAGTGGAACAAAGGGATTCAACTGCACGTCTCCATTTGCTTCTGTCTTTTGCTGTACTTTTCATCTGCATCCATGTTAGTCCATACTGTCTCAACTACTCTTCAAACGATCTCCTCCATGTCACCCTTGCACCGACGTCCCACTCGCCGCCTCCCTTTCGGGTCCACTCAAGTAAGGGCCTGACGCGCGCGAGATGTCACCCAGTGGCCTCCTCAGCGAGTGTCCGATCCATCTCCACTTCCTACTGTATATTTATTGCTTGACGATTGGTTCTCGTTTTGTTTGTTCCCATAGTTTCTTGCTGGTGATTCCTTAATAAGAGATTAGAGATGAGTTATTCGTTAACACAGAACTATATGAAGGACTTCATCCATCTGATTCTACAAGGCCGCAAATGCACAGTTCACCTATTTACTATTTGTTTATTATTGTTCCTTTTGGTTTTGAGTACAACAAATGGGTCAACAGGACATCTGCATTTATTCTGCCGTGTGTAGATGACTCCACGATTGCTTATAAGCTATCATATCTTTCTTACACGATCCCTCCATATCACCATAACACCAGACTCATCGTCTAATATTCGGGTTCCACTCGAGGGCTCGGCTGATATTCCACTAAACGGTCTAATCAAACACCATTTCCTCATATTTGTTGGTTGGTAGGTCCTTGGCTGGTTCGCTGCCTGAGTTCTTTGTTGCTAACCCTCACTAGGCATCTGGTGCTCATTATAGATAGAAGGCAGCTGTTGATAAGAGTCTGAACCGTTTTCAGATTTCATCGGAACATTGTTTACTCTTTCTCAATCTATCTTGTTTGGAGGTCAGTTTCGCAACTGCAGCATCTTTTAGTCAATCCAGAATGACACCAATTTACATTTTGGTTGGGGTGAACAGAAGTATGGTTTCACTCCAACTTATTTCGTCTCCTTTGGATTTTGAAGCGGGAGTCATTCCTCCAATCATAAGTTATCTTACTACCCCTACACACTTCCGCTGACAGTGGTGTGAGGATGTCCCCCGAGGATTCTGGAACCGTTTTCAGTGCTTCGGCAGGAATGTTGTCTGGTACCTATGCTTCCCAGGCTTTCAGCAGCTTGATCGCATTCAAGATTTCTGCTTTCGTTTGAGGATTGGTGTCCACTGGCAGTTCTGTGTGGGCTGTCAGTGGTCGTGGTATTTCTGGACGAGATATAGGTGATGGTCGATTCAAGAGTCAAGCGGCTACCCCATGGTTTTATTTGTGTCTCCTCCTTAGTAATCAGGTTCCCTAGAGCATCTTTTATTCGTTTCATCATCTGGGTTGATCTCTTCTCAGATACAGATTTGGTTACCTGATATAACGTCCTTAGGTGTTTTTGACCTGCGACTCGTTCTGTTTCATTTGTCGGCCAGTGTGTCGTAAAATTGTCTTTTTTCTCTCCTGGCACTCTTCTTCACTTCTTCATTCAGTGCAGGGTACATTGAACTTAGCTTTGAATTCTGTTGTCTATGTTTGTATTGAGTTATCTTCTCATTCATCATCCTCCTCTCTTTCACTAGCTTTCAGGCATCCATTGAGAGCCATTCCTTGTCTTGTCTCTTCTTTCTTCCTAGAGTAGTTGTACACGTTTCCTAGAACACAACCTTCAGAGAGTTAGTTCCACCCTTCTTCCACACACATGTTCTCAGCGATATAACTTGGTGTCTCCGACTTTGCTCTGATCTGAGATCTGTAGTGAATGTATCGCTTGTAGTTTTGTCCTTCAGTTTCTGAGTGTGAAAGTGGAATTGTGGTCAGTTTGGGTGGGATGATTCAGAGTTTAAGTTCCTGAATTGTGTAAGCTTCCTACAGATGCCAATATCTAACGTGGTGTAGAATAGTCCAATCACCTTCTAACTCTAAAGTGAACTGGATTCCACCTGTCGTTGCGTTTATGTCTGTGAAGTATACAGGGGCTTGTTATTGGTTCCAGTATTGTGAATATATACCGTTTAGATACCTCAACCATAATATATGAACCCTGTATTAAAGAAAGTTAGATGGGATAGCACTACATAAAGCTATTTAGAAAATTGTTTCGGTAGATTAACGTGACTACAAGAAATGAATTGTGCACATAACATCACTTAGTTATTAACACTGTACTACTCTGTGCTTTATCGATTAGACTTATCTAGTGTATGAGCAGTGAGAAGGTATTAACAACCTCATGATAACTAAATTAACTAACAAACAACTTAATTTAAATACATGGGTAAATTTTGAAGCATGCCAATGAACTGGGTGATAACGGTGTAATTCATTACACCATGATAATGCAGTATGTGAATCAAAGCAAGCATTATATTGATGAATACCACTCATTAACCAAATGTATTCAGCCGAAATACGTGCTGGTTACAGAGAACAGAACTCGTGAATATATAAATTTTTAATTTTCTTGGCAAGAGCGTTATTAAATATCGTATTTTTGATACAAGTACGAAATTTTCAGCATGTCATATTGGTAGCCTGAGTTTCGTAGACCAAGAATTGATATCAGGTGTGCGTCAGTAGAGGGTCGAACCCCGGACAACGTGTATGGTCGGGGAGGGTCCTAACAGCTGGGCCACCGATGCACTACAAGAGTCCGATTGGTGCATCTTTGTATGCAGTCAGTCAGTTTGTGACTGATGTGAAATATCTGATCGATTTAGTCTTGACAAAGCAGACAAACCTTACAAATTTCTACTTATTACACACGTTATACCTGTAGATTACTCGAAGTTTTATTCCTCTATACGCTTTATACGTGTCGCTTGTCACTTTGATTCATTCATCACAATGGTAGGCATTTTGTCGATTTGCATTTTCAAATAGGTCTATGTATGT